CCTATCTTCCAGAGGTGTGCGTAAAATATTAAAAAAAAATAATCTTTTTAACCTCATCAAAAACGAGATCTCGTAACAATACCCCCATATGTAAATATTGCAGCATATAGATCTCTGTTGCGTCACCGTCTTTCCGTTTAAGTATGAGTCTGCGCGAACATGTCATTCACTAGTGTAGTGTGACCTCAGAAGTTGCTGACTAGACAACTCAGTAAGAAAAGGGTTCCGGTTTTTGCAAGAGACAGAGGCTGACAAATGGAAGTGTGAGTTTTGGCACTTGCAATTGCAATCGCACGCGCGATTTCCATTCAGACAGCTAAAAATGTCGTAAAACGGACACGCTGAAAACGTTATTTCGTTCTTAGAATATGCCCAGCACAGGTAGATCCAATCGCGACACAGGTGAGCAAGTACACCTGTTCTTCATTTCAACCGATACCCATTTTTTGGAAGTCTCTCATTCAGAGCGACTAAGTGCCCATAAATAAATTTCCCTTTTTCTTCTGTTGGATCTAAGACGAAATCAGTAATGAAAGGTGTGTTGGCACATTATTCCGCGCCTATCTCCTATTGACACCACAAACATGCAAACATATATATACCTGCGAACACCTTTCAGAAGGCGAACGTCTATCAAGAAATTACTTAGTTTGTTTGCCTACCCCTATGAGTCTCTCTAGGTAGATTGCGGGGTGGGGAGGAGCAGAGGGGGAGGGGACGCTGTCCAGTGCGAGCCGGCGTGCAAGGGGCTGCCTACCGCCGCGGCGCGGCCCGTACGTCTCCAACGCGTTGGTTTAGTTGCCTACCTGTACGGAGGTGGAGAGACCGACACGGCAAGTCAACACCATGTTTTGTTTGATTTCGAAGTGAGCTATAACAATGCGCTAATTTCACAGAGACTTCCCCAATGACAGGACCCCCCCCCCCCTCCCTACCTGGCAAGGGGGGCATGCAAACAGTAAGACCACGAGGATTGTCGTGGCAGAGACTGGCGACCTCTGTACGGAAGGACGATAGCATTTGTATCTGAACACCCCCATCAACAACGGTTCCCCAAATCTTATCTGGATGCGCCTCCTGGAGAGGGAAGAGCGTCTTTGTGGCTTTGGGGGAAACCTGGAGCGGCCGCCTGGAGCTGTCGCGGAGCACGTCAATAAAATGAGAATTCGTCTCGCGCCCAAAATATTCCTCGTCCCAAGGCTACATTCCGCGAGCAGCCCTTGGCTAGGGGCGGGGCGGGGCCGACGCGACCGCGGCGGGGCGTGGTGGGGACTGCGTGGTGCGTGGTGGGGTGCACCGTGGCGGTGCGAGGCG